AGGTTTTGTCATTCTTTAATTTATGTTCCATTTTCTTTAAATCATCTACATTTGTTAATGGAAATTGTTCCAAAACTTGTGTAGTAGTTGGGTTATTTTTACTCGCATATTGTTTCTCCATTGTTTCTGTTTCCAAAAAACTTTCTATATTTCTGTCCATCTTGCGCAAAATTAATTTACATGATAATACTTCAGCTGAAAATAGAAAATATTCAAGAACATGTCGTTAATTTTAAAATATTTTTGATGTAAAAGTTAATTTAAATAATACATTAATGATATTTTCAACTTACCATTAAGGTGACAAATTGCATCTCGAAGAGATTCTAATGTAACTGCAGATTTTGATTTAGACATTTCTATAGAAGAACTATCTTTTAAAAGATTTCTGTCATGTACGGTACATTTCTGCTGTTGTACAGTATTATCAAAAGATGTTGAAGCTTTACCTAGACATGACTCCTTTTTAATTTTATCTACTTTACTAGGTAATGGATTTGCCCCCGCCCAGTTGCTCACATTTGTTAATTTTGGAAATGGTGGTAACATTGACTGTACATTTCGTTGTTTTCTGAGAATGTTTTCTTTGTCAGAATCATCAAAATGCTTTACCGGCTTTTTCATTCGTCTTCCTTTCCCTTTTTCTTCAACATCTGAATTAAATGTAGCATTGGGATTTTTTGAAATTTTTACGAGCATTTTCATTCCTTGATCATACTTCCCTGAAAAAGTCAAATTTTAGTTACAAAAGCAAAACAATATATTAACTATTAAAAATACAGATTATGTGACATATTATCTTAACATAAAATTTACCAATGTCTTCTTCTATTTTTCTGATGGAGAAATAATCCCACTCCATATTAGGTTTTACACACAGTTTTACCATTTTATGTATTGTAGCTTGATGTTCATACATAGGATACCGACATAATGTTCCCGTCGTCGTAATCCATGCAGATGGAATAAGATCATTGAAACCTTCAATATCGTCTTCTTCGTCTGTTTCAAAATGAACTATAGACCATTTTACCATATCATCATCAGTATGCGTCTTTTCAGAAAATACTGATTTTTCGTTAATAACTGTATTATATTTGTTCAAAATATTGCTATTTATAATTGTATCCATTGTAATTGTATTGCTCATAAAAAATTTTTATAATTCCTGCAAAAATATAACAAATATTTAGAACATTTGTAAGATAGTTACATAAGTTTATTGGATAAACAACATTCTAAGTGGTATTCTATAATATTATTACGAATATTGTGTAATGATGAAATTAGAATATAATTTGAGATTTAATGATTATTTTTGTTTTTCTAATAAAATAAATTTTAATTGTTTATTTTTAAAGCTGATTTGCTTTGCATTTAAAATACAATTTTGTTTGTACGAATATGTAGAAGTTGATTAAACACAAAATTAAGTAACCAATATATATTTTAACCTTTAAACAACCTTTAAACAACCAAGAAATCGACTACCTATTAACGATTTCTAAAGTTTTTTGGACCCCAAAAATTAAAAATCTGTTTCTTAGATTATTTTTTTCATATCTGAAACTTAATTATTGTAGTTAGGTACTATTTTTGCTGACCTTTGAACTACAAAAGACATATACAAGGTGTCCCAAAAACGTAGGGACGGCGGAATATCTCAAAACATTAATATTGTAAAAAAATATTTCAAATAAAAATTATAGGGTTTCAAAAGATCTATTTGCGCCAGTTTCCAGAAATTAACAAAAGTTGGCTAGAGCTTAGGTGAAACATAGTCTTGGGGTCCATTGGGCCCCGCTGGTCGTTTTAGATCTGTTGCATTTACTCTAGTTCCCCCGTAAATAAATTGTTCACGTTTTAGGCCCGGTTGCACCGTTATTTTGGTTTTAAGTGACACTTAAATACATGTCTATCTTTATTTATATAGAAAGAAAGATATATGTTTAAGTTTCACTTAAAGTAAAATAATGTTGGTGCAACCAGGCTTTAGTGACCTAACTAAACGAGTATATAGTTTATGTTAGATTAGGTTAGGTTATATAAATTACAAATAAATTATTTTTACCTGTAATGTGTTTCTTGTTACGTACGACGACGACATGTACAAAACAAAATACCAGATATGAGAAAAAAATAAAATAAAATAAGAAAGAAAAATGAAAAGATGTATATAGTTCCATTAAATCGTGTCACAATGTAAAATTGAAAATACAACGTTGCCGTTTTTGTACGGCAATTGTATATATTTTGTGATAATTTCTGACAATGGCCATTTTTTGAGATTAGACAATTGTTTGACTTTAAATACCCCTACGTGGGAACTCTCCGAAGGTATAGTATAAAAGTCGTATTTATTAATAAATTCCCTACCGATAACAACTGGAACCTGCAAACGTTCACAAAAAGCTATATTCTCAATTTGAATAATTGTTCTGGCAGCAGTACCACAGCAATTATTAGGACTTTCATTCGTTATTTTAAATTTTGGAAGAACAACACTACGATATTGACGCATGCAACCTGGTAACAACGGACCAGCATTATGGGGGTAAAAAAACCTCGGAAATTGATTATCTTGGCGTGTTTCCGTTGAACAATTAGACTCAAACGACATTATTTCCCCAATTCGTCGTCCTATTTGTTCCAGTGGCTTATTGCGTCCTCTAACTTTTCTCTTAATATCTTGCATATAATTTAATATTTCGAAAGGAAATGCAGATATCGTATCTAAGGAAAAATCACTTAATTTGTCGACAAAATATTCTGCATCATCAGCTATGTGTATGTTGTTATGAAAATTGTGGGAAATAAAATTTTGACCATATAATATTATAGTTGACTGAACGAAATGTTTTAAAAGATCTTTAGCAAATTGACGAAGAGACTGCTGCTTACAAAGACGCACGTTTAACAAAATTCGCATTGCAAAATGAAATTCCAAGAAATGAACATATTTCTTTTCACTCAAAACATTTTTTAGAACAATCGGTCCTACATAAAGGAGAAATAATCGAAACTCTGTTGCTTTCCATCGTAAAACAATGTAAAGCTCTCTACATTTTCTTGT